ATCTCCTCCTTGCTTCAGACTCGTCAGCATGCTCTTAATCTTGTCGACAACTTGGCTCCCTGGATCCTCACTCTCGATTAGCAACTTCAGAGAATCCTCAAACATTTCTGGCATCTCCATGTGAATCTCCTCGTCAATGTGCCCATTCAGGTAGGCGGTCACGACGTCATATTGCCATATTCGAAGATTCAATTCGACTGAGATTGCCAACATGAGCCTCAACGTCTCCAAGCGAGCTACTGGCGCGTATGTCTCGTGATAGTCGATTCCAGGACGTTGACTGTAGCCTTTTGCCACCAATCTAGCCTTTCTTCTGCTGATTGTCCCATCCTCATGGTATTTGTTTGTTAGAACCAATCGACAACCTACGACCCTTGCGTGCTCTGGTCGTTTCACTACTCTCCATGTGTCATTTCGGATGTGGCTCCTCATCTCTTCCATAATAGCGTCTCTCCATTCTGCTCTGTCACAACCAGTCAGAGCCTCATCAACGGAGATTTCTGCTATCCCTGAGAAAAGGTACAGGCTAGCAAAGGCATCTTCCTGAATCCCATTTCGCTCATCTAAAGTTTTCGAGATATTTCAGATGTTCAGTTTTTTCATAAAACTCCTTGTAATCACGCTAGCTTGTGAAAAAATTGAGATATCAACTTGTTTTTCAACTTATTCATTCAATTAATTAATTATTTTCATCCATCCGTCGATTTATAATTACTTAATGCTAATCAATTAATTTAGTTTTTTTGCTTCCGAATGGAAGCATTGTAATCGTGCTGTTTTCACATTCTCTAATTTTGATTGGAAATGATGTAGAATGGTCTGAAACGCAGAAATACGAAGTTTGGCGACCATGTCTGTCGATGTCAATGTCCATCGCCACCTTTCCGGTGGTCAATTTTTGGAAAATTGAGTAATTAATTGGCTAAACTTATTCCAAAAAATCTGAAATTTTTTCAGATTATAGACCTTAACAAGGACTATCTGTGCAAAAGTGCAGCCCGATTGATCAAATAGTTTTTGAGAAAAAGCTATTCGTTTTTAAATCGTTTTTCGCTAATATCTCCGAAGCTAGTCAACCGATTTCAATTTTTTTTTCAAAATTATCGTTTCGATGTCTTCTATCCGAATCAATCAAAACATATATACCCGTTCGTACAATGTTTTCGAGATATTTCCGTTTTTTCATAAAAATCCTTGTAATCACTCTAACTTGTACAAAAATTGAGATATCAACTTGAAATTTGAACAGAATCTTCCTCTCATGATAACAATCCTTCCTATTGAAAATGAGCTCAACCGCCTGAGAAGCTTCCGAGATATTTGCCTTTCTCTGAAAACCTTTTATGTGCAATATCTTAATAACTACGCAACCGATTTCAATTTTTTTTTTCAAAATATTTGCTTTGATGCCTTCTATTAGAATCAATCGAAACATATACGGCTGTTCATACAAAGTTTTCGAGATATTTCCGTTTTTCTGTTTTTTCATCAAAATCGTTGTAATCACTCTAGCTTGTGCAAAAATTGAGAGATCAATTTGAAATTTGGAGAGAATCTTCCTCTCATGATAAAAATCCTTCCCATTGAAAATAAGCTCAATCGCATGGGTAGTTTCCGAGATATTCGACTTTCTCTGAAAACCTTTTATGTGCAATAGCTTAAAAACTACGCAACCGATTTCAATTTTTTTTTCTCAAAATATTTGTTTCGATACTTTCTATCCGAATCAATCAAAATATATATACCCATTTATACAAAGTTTTCGAGATATTTCCGTTTTTCAGTTTTTTCATCAGGCGGCATTTCCATTTATTTTCTTTCTTTAATAGAATTACTACAGATCCATTCGGAAGCTTACTACCACTGGAATTGGTAGAAATGAAAGAAAGAAGAAGAGTTATAACACATAAAGTAACGGTCAGATGGCTTCGGCCAAAAAGGTTCGAACCTCTGCTTGTTTTTTTTTATTTTGATGGAAAGAAATCATTCGAGTACTCTAACATATTTCCAATTTACATCAACCCAGGTAAGAATTGACGATAGAAACAGGGCTCATCAAGCCTTGGACCAAGGCTCGGAAATGCTCAATCAGGGCTGGGGCTCAGTCTTGGATCAGTCTTCCTTCAGCCCTAAAATGATAACCTCGTTTCAGGCTTAGTCCGCAAGGCTTGAACGAGGCTCGGTGCCAAGGCTTGATTCAAGCCTTGAATTACCACATTTTAAAGGCTCAATCGAGCTTCGGCTAATAAACTGGAGTATTGTTTACAGATATTTGTGTAAACAATTTCTTATTGCTTTATAACCCTTTTTATGAATTTAGAGTAACCTATGAAAGAGAGTGCGGTCGGACCGTATGTCACTGTTGCTAAGCGTTGTTGGTGATTGTGATTGTCGGTTAATTAACAGTGGATGGGAAAAAAATTATTATCATCATTAGTTTCTATTAATTATTCGTCCTGGATTATTACCGTACACCTGGAAATTGAAATAAAATGAAATCAAACATTTAAAAATTTGCTCCTCTGCTGGGGTTCGATCCGGGGTCCTCCTGATCCGTAGACAAGCGCGCTATCCACTGGGCTACCTGCGACGTCTTAGGATGATACATTTTTTTCGGATATAAAAATTCAACTTGTGTTAGTGTTATTTTGTTATTTTGTTGATACCCCAAATAAACTTCCTGAACTTGAATAAATGATAGGTCCGATGGATTTATGAGTTCAGAATCGATTGATTAATTAATTATAGATAAGGATAATAATAATTATGTAGCCTCGTGCACAAAGGGCTGCTCTAGGCCTGGTCTGGGGGTAGCTTAGATAACTTGGTGGAAAATTATAGCTATGTTTGTAGATGATGATAATGTTTTCACCACCATTAGCTAATGAGTATTGATATAAAAATTGAGGAAATTAATCGAAAGTAACTTTAATTTTCGATGCCTTGCTGAGCCCTGAATAAGCCTTGACGTACTCAGCCTGAATACTGAAAGCCTGGACTAGGCCTGGATTGAGCCTCGCCAATGGCCCCTTTAATCATCCTCATTTGAAGCTCAAGTGAACGATGAAACCAAGCCTATCCCAGGCCTGAATAACTGAGCCTCGCCAACCCTGGGCTCATACAGGCTTGTTCTCATCGTCAGCCTATGTAATTCTTACCTGGGAAGTTATAAGTCAAAATGAGCAAATGGTTGTGTATATTGTCCTTATATTTTGTGGATGTTGGCCGGCAGGAAGCACTGATGTACATACCAAATAAATAATACAGTTGATTAACTCTTCAAAATTTTATTCATTTAATCTCAGATATGTCGTTAGAAAACCTGCCGGATAGTAGGACATGTTTCGGTACTGTCGGTAAAAATTTTGATGCCAAGATTTTTTCCATCATTTTATAACAATTATAGCGTTTTTCTTGGTGTAGTTACTGCTGTACTAAGCAGCCTGTGTTTCTCGATAGCGACTAGAACTTCAGCAGTTTTTAACGTATTTCTTGAATTTAAAAATAACAATGGCCTTGTGACTTGTCACAACCGAGTCAGAATTACGGGCATATTACATACTGACATATGAAAATCAACTATTTAAATGTAATCTGACTGTCACAAATTTTCCACTTTCACCCGTTTTTCTTTACAAGGGTTTGGCCTTCAGCCAGGGAATGTTCAATGTGGAGTAGATATTTCAGTTAAAAAATGCGTGTAATATTCGGTTACAAAAACAATTTTTCAATACAATTTTTTTTTGCATACAAGTGCAATTTTTACATTGATATTATGTGGAAAATTGGGATGAAAAATTGATGTGAAATATTGGCTTCTGAATAAACCCTCTTAAAGGTTTGGAAGCTATAATAAAAAAAAATATTGGCTCGGCCGGAGCATAAATCTTTCAATCGAAAAAGAATGTTATCGGAATGATGTTAATATTAATGTTAATATTAAGACCAATTCAACATCAACTAATTACCATATTAATTATCATATTAATATGGTAATTGATTAATATTAAATTGGTTTTATTAATATTAATATTAATATTGAATATTGCGACGAATCCATTCGGAAGCTTACTAGTAATGGAATTGGTGGAAATAAAAAAAAAGGAACGGAAGATCTAACGGTCACATGCCTTCTCTCGGAGAGGCTCCAATCCGTGCTTGCACGGAGAGAAATATTCAATGAAAATTACCAGAAAAAAGACGCAAAAATTACGTTCCGAAAGGTAATCTGGGAGCGAAGTAAAATTCAATAAAAAGTGTCAATCGTCACGTAAATTCTACGATCTGTTCCGTAAAAATTACTCATCCGTCCGACGCCTCACGGCTAGCCGTGAGTCACCGTGAGGGGGAGATTTTAACAACACGTTCCGTAATTTTTCCGGAACTTTTCGTAAAAATTCTTAAACATCCAAGAATTTTCATGTTCTGAGGCATAATAAGTCTTGAAGTTTCTGTTAGATTTTACAACTTCCAGAAAAATTACGTGACTTTTTCGTATTTTTTCGGTGACAGACCCGAAAATTTACTGAACATTTCAGGTTTATTCTCTTATATTCCTATAGAAATTCACTGAAAACGATTCTCGCTTGCGGACGTGAAATGTTCCGTAATTTTTCTTGAATATTTCTCTCCGTGTGTTTTTCTAACTGTGTAATTTGTTTAAAATTAATAACAAAAATTATTGTAACGTTTTTGCATCTCATGCAACATTCTTAGTTTCCGTTTACGTTTCCGTTTTCGTATTGCGTTTGCCCCTCGCGTCCCTTGAAAATATGAAGAAAAATACTTGATCTTCGTGAGTTTCAAATCATGAAAAGAGGAAAAAAGTCAGACTCTACGCGGAGAGAAAACTTCAATAAAAATTACAAAAAAAAAAAACGTAAAAATTACGTTTCGCCACGTATTTCGCGAGCGAAGTAAAATTCAATAAAAAGTGTGAGTCGTAACTGAAATTGTACGAATCGCCATGTAAATTCTATGATTGGTTCCGTAAAAATTAATCACCGGTCTGATGACTCTCCGCTGTGGGGACAACAAGTCGTTCCGGAATTTTTCCCCAACGATTGAGAAGTTTTACGGAATGGAACGTAGAAATAACTTACCAACTTCATAAAAATTGTTGAACGGTCAAGAATTTTGGATTTTGGAGGCATAATAAGTCGGGAAATTTCTGTAAAATTTTACTTCGTGGGAAAAAATTACACGGAGAGAAATATTCAATAAAAATTACGTATCTTTTCCGCAATTCCGGAGCAAAATGTGGTTGTAGGAAATTTTACGGAACTGTCACGGAATTTTCCCAGAGCGCTCCGTAATTTTTATCTGAATCTCCTGTGAAAAATTACGATACCGTCACTTAAATTTTCTGAGTCAATTCCGTAATCGGTGAGCGAATTGTGAGTTCCGTAATTTTTAATGAACATTTCTCTCCGTGTACGTGA